AACAATACTGATCGGTGTTGATAGTTTCAAATTTCTTGGCAGTGTACTGTCTTCAAATGTCCGCATCGATGCAGACATAGCTTTACGTATGAATACGCTAGTGCATCCTTTGGAAGACTCGGAGCAAAAGTTTGAGACTGCTGTGACATCCGCATAGGAGACAAAGTTGAAAGTACATATGTACATGTATGCACTGATGTGGACCTCCCAATCCATTTGTGCTCAATCGAGACCAGGACGGTGTACCAAAACCATGGTAAAAAAATGCCTCTGGAGAATTCTTGGCAACAAAGGGCAGGGTGAAATACCAGACACCAAAGTTTTCAAGACGGCACATGCAGAGTCTGTCATCTAAAATCAAAAGGGTTCAACTTCGTTGGGCTGGCCGTGTTGTAAGAATGCTTAATTTCAGAATCCCAAAGACAGTATTCTATTCTGAACTTCCCCAAAGGAAGCCTAAAGTTGGCGCAAAAAAGCGCTACAAAGACACCCTGAAAATATCTCTTAATAGACTTCAACATAAATCTATCGACATGGGAAAGCCTAGCTCATGACATACCCACTAGGACAGCAGCAGATACAGAGTGGGCAGCAAGTCCTATGAGGCTTCATGAATAAGAAATGTTGAAACCAGCAAGCTGCGCACACCCACAAGTGGAAGTGAAGCTTTTGAATGCTCAAAATATAATATGGCTAACTCTTCTCTGCTAGAACTTATTGGTATCTCTGGCCACAGCAGAAACCCCAAGTCATCTTCATCTTTGGTTCTTCTATTTTGCAAGAGAAAAATTCTCTTCTGTCGATGTCTTTGTCATAGTCAGACATACGAACTATTATGATTATTATCATCATCATCACCATCATCATCATCATCATCATCATCATCATCATCATCATCATCATCATCATTATTATTATTTTGGATCGTGCTATTATAGCCAAATAAAGGACAAGTAGGGATGGTGCCGCGTGCACTTGACTGTAGCACATGTTCTGTGCGGAATAACAAAACATGTTGTGAAAGATAAATTACCTCCCTGGAAACAAAATACGAATGGGAGAGATGAGAGGTGTATCCCCC